GCTTATGTGATTATGGGAGCTGGCAAGTCCAAAATCTACGGGGTGGCCTGGCAGGCTGAAGATCCAGGGAAGAGCTAGTGTTGTAGTTCAAGTCTGAAGGCAATCTGCTGGCAGAATTCCCTCTTCTTCCAGGGAGATCAGTCTTTTTGTATTAAGGCCTTCCACTGATTGGATGAGGCCCACCTACATTATGGCGAGCAGTCTGATTTAGTCAAGGTCTACTGGTTTAAATTTTAATCTTATCTAAAAATACATTCACAGAGTAATCACTGGATACCATGGCCTAGCCAAGTTGACACATAAAATGAACCATCACAGTATATATAGATAAATATGCATTATATATCTAGACTTAATATATATTCATACTTAACTTATTTGAATATCCATTCTTTATCATTTTCTTCTCTACTTACTTGAATATATCTGTTCTCTTTCAAAACCCAAATTAAAAAAAAATCAATAATATATATTTTAAATTGACTGCTAACTTAATTGTGTTGTGGTTGAAGTGGTCTCTGATACTTATTCTTTGGAATTTATGGATACTTGCTTTTTGGCCTTGACTAGGACATTGTCAGTTTTTACTGATGTTCCATGTGTGCTCATAAAGTGTGAGCATTTTTCCAGTTGTTAGGTGCAATGTTCTATATTTGTTCATCACGTCCAACTTGTTTGCATCTTCTCTATCATTACTGATGTTTTTGTCCATTTGATCTTACCAGTTTGTTAGAAATGCATATTAAAATTATCCTGCTAGATGGTAGATTTTGTCTCATAATTCTGAATATTTTGCCATTTATATTTTGAAGCCATATTTTTTATTATATGAATACACTTTTAAAATTATATCTTTCTGGTGCATGCTTTTATCATCATGTAATAATGCTATTCATTTCTAGCAATGCTTTTTGCCTTAAACAGTATTTTGCCTAATGTTAATCTGTCTGTTGCAACTTTCTTTTGGTTATTATTTTCTTGGTATTATCTCCTTCTATCCTTTTTCTCCCAACCTTTCAATGTACCTTTGTTTTAGGTGTATCTTTTGCCAGTGGAATATGGATGCATTTTTACTTTTTAACCAATTTGACAATATCTGTATTTAACTGGCCAGTTTAGTGTATATGCATTTTTTTGATGATTAATTCATCTGACCATTTGTCAACTATTTTATTTTTTGATTTCTACTTGTCTCACTCTTTCTGTTGCTTCCCTCATCCCTCTTTTTATCTTTTTAAAATATAGAATTATTTATGTGTGTTCTTATTCCAGGCCAAATGTCCTTCTGTGGGGTGGGTTTTTCTAGTTTACTGAGAGTATGGCCCTTTTGCATCCTGCCTGTAAAATACAGAGGTCTCCTATCTAATCTCTCCCTTTGCTCAGGCCTTAAGCCTTGTCTCCTGTCCCTCTCAAATGGCGCATTGAAGCCCAGCCATTAGGCCATCAGAGAATTGGCAGTGGCTTATAGGGCAAACACCAGCCCAATGCTCTCTTACTCCTGAGGTTCTGAGCTCTGAAGATTTCATTCAGTTCAGTTGCTTAAAAAAGTGTGTGTATGTGTGTTTTTTGTATTTTTGGGTGTTCTTGGAGGGTTTTCTCTGTGTTACTAGTCTGCCACTGCCTGCCCTATTGCTGCTATAATGCTGTCACCTTCCTTGGCTCACGGTCCCCTTCCTCCATCTTCAAAGCCAGCAATGGCAGGTCAAGTTCTCACGTCACATCTCTCTGACCCAATCTTCTGCCTTCCTCTTATTTAAGAGCTCATGTGGTTAATAATCCAGGATAACCTCCTCATCTCAAAATTCTTAACATTAACACATCTATAAAGCCCTTTTGCCAGGTAAGGTGACACTTTCATAGGTTCCAGGGTTTAGGACATGGACATCTTTGGGGGGTCACATGATAATTTGAATATATAACATCCCTTTATTCTCCTCCTTAGTTTTAAACTAATTGAGGAATAGACAAAGGGGTCAGACAGAAGGAGATCAAAATATCAGCTTTATCATTAGTTTTGCTGATTAGGAAAGTTAGCTTGACCTGAAGCTACAATCAGGATCTCAAATACACCACCCATCCTAGACACACACTTATACTTCAAATTGAACTTAATCCCAAACTACAGACTTCCACCTTGCTGGGGCAGAGCTGGTCTCAGAAAGCTTCCCTGGAGGACAGTGCTTGCTTCCAGGGACAGGCAGCTCCAGAAAGAATGCCTTCTTTCAGCTCTGTCATCAGAAAAGGCCTTCCTCTATTGAGGAAAAATTGAGTGAGGCGAGGCAAGTGGAAACCACCCTCTCTTCTCATGGAAATATGGAGACAAGAATAGTACCCCCAGTAATAATTCTTGATTTTTGTTGAGACTTTCTGTATGGCCTCATCAATGGTCAGCTTTGAAAAAACGCTTTACATGTGCTTGAACCCAGAGTGCCATCTCTGGTTGTTTGGGGCGTAATTCTCTGTATGTTCTTTGTTGTTCTGATGTATCACTACTTTATTTTTTATTTTCTATTTCGGTCTGCTTGATCTGTCATTTCCCAAGGGAGATGGTCACAATGTGTTATATTTTTTACACACTGTGGGATTTGGTTTTGTAAATTTGTGTTTAGGATTTGTATTTCTAAGTTCATCAGTGAGAAGACTATAATTTCCCTCTGCGGTACTCAGGACTGCTAAGTGGCACAATTCCAGAGGGCGCCATTCACATTCTGATCACAAGTTGTACTGGCAGATTCTCGTGATTAACTGAGCTAGGAGCCTTCCCTCATCTTCTGTACTGAACAATTTGTAATTTTTCCCCAGGAGCTAATCATTTGCAGGGAAGGTGTTTGGAGTATGGAATTGAGTCTTCCGGGTGCTTTTTGCCTTTGCTAATGCTGGGCCTTAGGAGTTTCACCATTCTGGACCATTTTGTGAGCCTGAGTGTTGATGTAAATTGCAAAGAAATAGAAATTAAAGTCTTTTACGTATATACACATTGTGTGCAAAAATAGGCACAGATACACATGTACACACATACATACACTATTTGAATGGTAGGGAAGAATCCCAAGGCTTTAGGTCGGGGAAGGGCCCAGAGAAAGGAAGAGACTTATCCAAGGCCACAAAGTGATATAAAGTTAATGAAAATCTCAGTCTCTCCACCTACTCCTGGCCTGACTTATCCTACATTTATAAAGGTGTGTGTGTGTGTGTGTGTGTGTGTGTGTGTGTGTGTTGGAATGTGTCCAGGATGGATATGGATTGCTCAGCCATTGTTTGGAGGTTGGGGGTCTTGCTCTGCTTCTGTCCATTTTCTTCCCTGAAGTTTGGCTATGGCCCTTCCTAGTCAACGCTGAACTGGATTTGGAGGAGCCAGAAAGTGCTGAGCACACATCCGAGTGTGGGTCATCCGGCAGTTTCTTAGCTCCCCAGAGCCATAGACTTGTTTGTGGGTTGTGAGCCATGATTCCCTCTATCCTGCACTGTCAGAAAGCAAACCAGCAATCAAATCGTAATTGTTTCCTTCTGTGTGGGTCTCTCATTCCAAAGACTGCCGTGGCAAGTAGAAGTTGGCTCTTAGGAGTGAAGGGACCACGAATTAGACGGCAGGCCAGCAGAATAACCATGGATGTGGTGGCCCTACAGCCCACATTTTCCAGCAGAGGCCTGATTTCAAATATTTTATCCTGTTGGCCTTATAAACAATCCAAATGCCCCAGAAATTCCACCATCTCAACCATATTTTCTAAAGTGTTTCTTATTGCTGAAAGAAGCACAGAAATCCTGTCAGACTGCGTGGCTGCAGTTGTGGTTTGAAGAATATATTACTTTACTTATGTAAAGAAGACTTTTTTTTTAAAATTATTTTTTATTTTTTTGTTGTGAGGAAGATCGGCCCTGAGCTAACATCTGCCAATCCTCCTCTTTTTCTGCTGAGGAAGACTGGCCCTGGGCTAACATCCATGCCCATCTTCCTCCACTTTATATGGGACGCCGCCACAGCATGGCTTGACCAGCGGTGTGTCGGTGCGCGCCCGGAATCCAAACCGGCGAACCCTGGGCTGCTGCAGTGGAGCGCGCGCACTTAAACGCTTACGCCACCAGGTCGGCCCCGACTTTTTTTTTTTTAAATGGTGGGGTTTAGACAGACAAAAACAGTCCTATTTGAAACATATCAAATTAGAAAGAGTTGACCCAATATCCCAGATCTCTGAGGAAATTCAAGTTCTCTTCCTCTTAGCTCTTCATCCAAGCACATGTGCAGACGTTCAGTCAGATTCCCCTTCAACATCTGGGTAGGTGGAATGATGCTAGAAACTCGGCTGACTGACAGACACTCTGCCCTTAGAGACTCCGCAGCCCATAATGGGTAGAGGCTATGTGGATATACATAGTAATTAATATAGGTTAACAGTGTGAGTATGTCAGGGGGTATAGAGTTCTCTCAATTGGGAGGATCCAGAAAGATTCCAATTCAGTAAATACTCACCAGAGCTGGCACAGCATCACTTCTGCTGCATTCTGTTGATCAGAGCAAGTCACTAGGCCAGCCCAGAGTCAGGAACTACCTCGTGATAAGAGGAATGGAATGCACATACAAGGATGGGAGGAATTTTTAGTGGCCATCTGTGCAGATAATCTACCACATTAACTTAAAAGAAAGCAAGTTTATTAATCCCAGAGCTGAAGGATGGCATCTCATTGTCTTAGCTAGCATGTTTTTGGTCACTGGTGAGGGCTGGCTGTGTTTTCCTGTTGTCTAAGGATGCGTGCTTCCATATGTCAGGCCCAGTGGGCACAGTCTCCGCCTCTGACAAGTCTCCCTATCATGCCTAGCCTAGGATTAAAGATGAGTTCTGCAAAGTGCACTTTGTGAGTGATTCTGCTGAGACAGAAGTGGTCTTCCAGGCTTCTCATCCGTCCCTTTCCTCTATTCTTTCACTCCCTTTGTTCCTCACCAGTTCCTTGCCCATGGCGTGCACCCTTCTTACGAGGTTCCCACCTCTCTCTTGTTCCAGGCACTAAAACAGGTGCAGATATTAGTGATGGTACCTGTGAGCCTGGACTGGCCTCCCTGGCCTCCTACATGAACCCCTTCCCAGTGCTTCATCTCATCGAGGACTTGAGGCTGGCCCTGGAGATGCTGGAGCATCCTCAGGAGAGAGCATCCCTCCTGAGCCAGATCCCAGGCCCCACAGCTGCCTACATAAAGGAATGGTTCGAGGAGAGCTTGGTGAGTAGGCCCATGGCCTGTTTGGGGATCCACTGGGGAATGTAATCATGGAGCCCACAGAATGCCACCACTGCCTGGGACTGTTACTTCAGCTGTACACCGTCCAACCTTTTCGTGCTTCCCATCTAGCTTTGGCCAGCTCCCACTGAGTGGTCCTTTGCAGCACAAGGGTGGAGCCCAGTCAAAAAGCTTAAGCTGCAGTTAGCCCCCCTGATCAGTCAGCCTGCTTGGGCACCCCAGCTGCTCTCTCCTGAGAAGGGGAAATCCTTGGCCACAGAAGAGCAAATACAGAAGATTTTTTTTCCCCAGACTATGTGTATAACTTATAACATCAGAGTTGTATAAATATATATAAACTTATCATTGGAGTTCTAATCCCAGCTGAGGTCTCTACCCTCGGCTGTATGCCCCACTCCTTGTTTCTTACAACAAACTAAAACCTGGTAACCTCATTCATTCCTTTACTGCTGCACCTACTCTTCAGACCTCCTTGCCCTAGAAATGCTTCCTGCCTCTAAAGTGGAATGCAGAACTGTAAGATAATACATTTGTGTTGTTATAAACGACTAAGGTTGTAGTAATTTTTTACGGCAGCAATGGGAAGCGAATACAACCAGATACTGCCTAGAGAGGACAGTGGAGAAAGTTGCTGGGTGGGTCTCAGGTGGGCCTGGTAGTGTAGGCTTGAAAATCTGCTTCTCATCTCTTCCCCAGTGAAGACCGTCCTTGGTGGTCCTCTCAGACTGGTGATAACAGGCAGAGTCCTCATCTGGCCTTCTGCCCACTCTTAACCACGGTTGGGAGTTGCAGGGGGTGATGGCTTCAGTAGTTTAGTTCTCTCTTTCCTTTCCCACAGCAGAGGGTCCCTCCTTGCCTCCCTAGAGTTCCATCAGGAACTCTGGCTGTTACTGCACTTCCAGCTTTATGATGCTGATCCTGAGTTCTCTCCAATCATCTCTGACCTTTTGCCCACCTCTGTGTACAGCTGCAGCTTTCTATGGCCTGCTTTACCCTGGGCAGGGACACTGACCCCTCCCTCCATTCCTGCTCGCACTACTGACTCAGGGTGCAACGTTCAAAGAAAATTTTATGAAGCCTCAAGAAAATTACAGGTCCGCAGTCCCTCAATCTGAAACTGTTGTGTCCAGATGCGTTTTAGAACTCAGAACTTACTAAACTTTAGAAAGGTAAGGGGCCAGCCTGGTGGCGCAGCGGTTAAGCGCTCACCCTCCGCTTCGGCAGCCCGTGGTTCGCAGGTTCGGATCCTGGGCGCACCACCACTTGTCAAAGCCATGCTGTGGCGGCTTCCCATATAAAGTGGAGGAAGATGGGCACGAATGTTAGCCCAGGGCCAATCTTGCTCAGCAAAAAGAGGAGGATTGACATCGGATGTTAGCTCAGGGCTGATCTTCCTTACAACAACAACAAAAAAAAGAAAGGTGAGACAGTGCATATATATCATATAACATATATACTATCTCTAGCAGGTACAGGGCAGGAAACACATTAACAGTTCTTCAGCAAAACTTATGAATATCTGCATGAAGTGAGATAAAAACTGTAGATATTCTCCCACCAGTTCAAGTCAGGTTTTGCTGCCAAATAAGTTAGGCACCAACATTATTTAAAAAAAAAAAAAAATTTCGGTTTTTAGAGCTTTTTTGTGTTTCAGAATTGCAGGTAAGGGATGATGAACTTATATGAGGAATATTCCAATGCAGTAAACAAAATTTAAAACTAAATATTGGATATTGGATGTCACCACTCCATGTCCATCATCTATAATCTCTTTCTGAGAGTCACTTGTTTACTCTGTCCTGGGCTGGCCTGTCACCTCACCATGTGCCTGGGGCCCCTTGGAAGCTCCCAGACAGCCTTCTCCACTGTTCCCAGACCTTTCATTAGGCTGCAGAGTAGTTTAGCACCTTCTTAATTTAAATACTCCCTCTCAGCTCTGCTCAGGATCTTACCATCACATAACCAAGATATTCATTGAAGTGTCTTCCCCAACAAAAGCCCATCTGCCCAAAGTACAGAAAACAGCTGGCTTTTATTCTTCTCTATATAGTTTACAATAACTATAGGCTTTTACCTTGTGTGGATGTGCCTGAATTTATGTGACCATTTCTTTAATAGTCACATTTAGGTTATTTTTAATCTTTCACAAATATATGGCACTGCTGCAGAGAATGTCTTTGTCCAGAAATTTGTCTTTATCTCTAGATATTTCCCTAAGATAGAGTCCTAAAAATAGAATTATAGAGTTAAAGTAAGAGTAACAGACAAAATACAGGATGCTCAGTTAAATCTGAATTTTAGATCAGCAATGAATAATTTTTAATAAGTATGTCCCATGCAGTTTGCTAAATCTGGCAGCTCTAATCCAAAGATATCAATATCTTTAAGCCTTTTGACACATTTTTCCAAACCACTCTCAGAAAGATTTTACTCATTTATATTTTCATTGGCAGGATTTGAGGTGCATCGTGATCAACAACAATCACTGATTAAAAAAACAGCTTTACTCATTTCATAGGAAAAATGTTTTCTTTTTATCATTTTTGCATTTCTTTGTTTAGTAGTAAGGCTAAACTTTTTTTCACTAGTTATTAGTATTTATTCTTCTGTATGGTCTGTAAACTTTTGGTCTCATACTCCTATCTGAAAAAAAATTCATTCTCCCTATATGCTTATTCACATACACATTATTGTCCTAATATATGTAAATTATAAAACGTAGCCCCAAATAGAGATTTTTAAAGGGCAGGTTAAAAAATAGCTCTAATATTTTCTCCCCACACACCCCAGAGAGCACCGTGTGTCCCCTGGGTGTGCTTCCCCCACCCTGGGTTATTCATATTCTATGATTTGTTTCTATTGGGATTTAGTGCTTTTTTTTAAATGATTTTTCATTATTTATAGCATTTATTTCCCTCACTTTGTTTTAAAGATTTTATTTATTCATTTTTTTCCCCCCAAAGCCCCAGTAGATAGTTGTATGTCATAGGTTCACATCCTTCTAGTTGCTGTACGTGGGACTCGGCCTCACGTTGGACCGAGAAGTGGTGCCTCGGGCGCGCCCGGGATCCGAACCCGGGCTGCCAGCATCAGAGCGCGCGCACTTAACCGCTAAGCCACGGAGCCGGCCCCCTCACTTTGTTTTAAAATGTTGTTTATGGTGCTTTTCAAGACAGAGACTTTGAAAGGACTGTAATGAACTCTATCAGTCTTTCCTGTCTGGGTTTCTTCTTTTCTTTTTATCTCTAGAAAGGCCTTTCCCAACCTCAGATCAAATAGTATTCACCTGTATCATCCTCCAATAGCTTTGATTTTGTATCTTATGGTTAACTCTAATTCATCTGCAATATTTTTTTAGTGTGTGGTGTGAAATAGGGATCTAACTTTTATAATTTACCAAAAAAGAGTCTTAAGGGCCGGCCCCGTGGCTTAGCAGTTAAGTGCGCGTGCTCCACTACTGGCAGCCTGGGTTCGGATCCCGTGCACGCACTGATGTACCGCTTCTCCAGCCATGCTGAGGCTGCACCCCACGTGCAGCGACTAGAACGATGTGCAACTATGACATACAACTATCTACTGGGGGGCTTTGGGGGGAGGAAAAAAAGGAAGAGGATTGGCAGTAGATGTTAGCGCCGAGCTGGTCTTCCTCAGCAAAAAAAAAGAGGAGGATTAGCATGGATGTTAGTTCAGGGCTGATCTTCCTCACAAAAATAAATAAATAAATAAATAAATAAATAAATAAATAAATAAATAAAAAAAATAAAAAATATCACTGGAAAGTAATTTGTTAAAAAAAAAAAGACTCTCAAAAAATATTTTTGATCCAAAGGCAGTCGACTTGGTTGTTGGTTTTTGCAAGATGCATTGCAGAAAACAGCTTGCCTTCAGATTTTCAGGTCTGTTTGGGGGTTATTTACAATGATTAGGAGAATGCCTTCCTTTGGACAGATTTTCCTAACAGTTTGTTGCATTCATGAATCTTTTAGAGTAATTGTAGCCATCAGCAATGTATGCATGTTCTACTTTTGGGGGGGTCAAAAGTTCATATAAACATTCCAAGATCCCAGGGCTGGAAGTTCAGGTTTTGATTCTGGACAGAGAAGCCTGTCTGTGTTTTAGGTCTCGCAGACCTGAAGTCATTTTTCAATCTGGGTGCACTCACATTCCATAGGAGGTCTTATCTGTATGGAAATAGAATCTGAAGCAGTGAACAAACCCACCGGTACTTTTTAGATTGGCTTTAGCTTGGTACTTTTAGTTAGAAGCCCTTGCTACTCACGTTGTGGTCTATGGACCAGCAGCTTTGGCATCCCTTGGTAGCTTTTTTAAAAAATAAAATTAAAAAAAAATGCAAAATATGGACCACCCCCCCACCTGACCCTTCACCCACTGAACCATCTCCAAGTGATCCATATGCACATGAAAAAGTTGGAGAAGCACTTCTCTGAACCAGAGAGACTCACTTGAATTATTTAAAAAATAAGGCATGTGGCTTAGAATTGGAATTGGCACTAGTAAGGCAGCTTGAGGGATGAGGCAGATAGTCCTGTGCTTTCCCATTCATAATATCTGTGCATCCCTTGTGTGTTTGCACTGTTCTCTCTAGACACTGGCTTTGCCGTATACCTCAGAGTTACTGCTTTGTCATACGTTGGCCTGGCATTGTCTAACTCTGCCTCGTGACTTCTCTGTCAGTTGGATTCTTTTTCCAGTAAAGTGGCATAAACAATGGGATGTTTATATGTCACTAACAAGATGAACAGAGGATGGGTGGTCCCAGGGTCTAAGTGGCTCTGGGATGACCTCAAGGGCTCTGGCTCTTCCCATCTTTCTGCCCCCCATCCTCAAGGGGTTGATTTTTCCTCAGGCATGTCACCTAACAGTTACAAGATGGCTACTACAGCTCCAGGGAACATGTCCTCACACAGACACAACCATGTCCAGAGGTAGGATATGTCTTCTTTTTTCCCCTCGAGAAGGAA